TGAACAAGGTTGAATTGAAATCCAGATTTCCAATTGAGGAGTGAAGAGGAGGTGGCTAAAGAATGATGGGTGGAGACGTACAATTGGTACAAATTCGTTTTTTCTTTTTCCTTTTTTCACCATATCACCGTTGGCTACATGTCTTTTGTTTTTTCTATTTTCCATTTTTGTTTGTTCAAATGGGTACAAATTCGTTTAGAGACTCTGGGAATCTTTAGTGTGCCATTCCTGCCACATATCCAAAGCTACAAACCGTGGACAGACATTCGGGCCCATAAAAATTGGCATGTGTCGTACTTAAGATATCTATTTATGCAAATGAATCGGTTTTTTATGTGGTAAATTATAATTCATATAGTATTCGAGTTTATAAAATAAGCAGGTACTAATTTATACATAATCCGCTTAAGCAATAGGTCCTAGCCTCCATCCGACTAACACTTAGTGCAACCTTGATGGATAATGTTGCTGATTTTGCCATGTAGTAGTCATGCAAGCATGTAGACAAACTATATATTTTAATGGTTTTATGCCCATCCTATTTTTTTATTATACCACCTACCATAAAAAGTTAAAATAAACTCTACTCTTTTCCCACTCACTTTATCTCCAAAATACCCTTAATGTGACAATGTAATCGGTTACCCGGTCCAACGCAGCTCATCAGCACGGCCTCCCATCGCGATCCTCGTTCCTGACAGCTCTGAAATTGTTAAACACCTCAAAAAATCCCCGCCCAAAACCCCCAAAAAGGGTTGGGATTCCAAAACCCAAACTACCAAGAAAACAACCCCCTACCTTTCTCCTCCCAACCACCACCACCACAAAAAGTCCCAGTCCCAGCCCTTTGATTCCTTCTTCATTTGGTTTTTCAATTTTTTCAAAATATAATTTCACAATTAAAAGATACAAATGATAATTTGCTTTCGGGTCTAAATCTCTCTTCTATAAGCTAGATAAATTTAGCACATCTAGATATTATATCAATTTGCATGGTTGATCTTATGATCCTTGTGCAATACAAATAGAAAGTGTACATGTACAATCATGAAAGTCGAATTGTGATGCTCCTGAGCTACATGAAACAAAACAGTCGAATTGTGATGCATGGTTTTTTTGAAAAATGAGAATCCCTCTTGTTAAAGGATTCGTATATATGTATGTGTGTGTGTGTGTATATATTCATATACAATTGCAATTTTGTGTAAATAATTGAGAGATGAAGTCATTATTTGTTGTTTTGGGGATTACGAACCAGGAAATGAATTCAGTTTTATTTATTAAATAGATTGGTGTACAATATTCATGTCCATTTGGAGACATTCTTCATTAGCAACCAGCGCTTAGTGCAACCTTGATGGATAATGTTACTGTTTTTGTCCATGTAGTCATGCAAGCACGTAAACAAACTATATATTTAAATCCTGTCACGTCTATACATTTTATACAAAATGTTAATTGTTTTTTGTCCATGTAGCTCGGGCGCATCACAAGTTTGACTTTCACAATTGTACATGTATATTTTTTCTCTGTGTTGTACAAGGTGTATAATTGGCTATGCAAGTTGATATAACATATTTGGATGCTCTAAATTCATTTAACTTATGAAAAGAGAGATTTGAATTCGAATGAAAGTGACATGCATCATAAAGGACTTGTGACTTCATTTTCCATCATGCTTCTATGGGATTCTTCAAAACCATTTTCCCTCTTTTCAGTACATAGGGATTGCTCTTCCTACGTTTATGGAAAGTATACTTTTCTTCTTTTAAATAGCAGAAATATCATAAGAGGAGGAAAAAACTAATGACAAAGAAATAAAAAGAACTAGTAAGAAAGAGCTAGCACAATCAACAAAAATTCTGTTGTATTCAAAACACAAACGAGTATAGTTATTTATTTAAGGGGCGTTTTGATATAAGTGGTTGAGTTTTCAACTCTATAGACAAAACATTTGTTGGTTTTAGAGATTTAATTAAACAATTTTCCTACAAATTTGGAGTCTCGTCTATCATAAATATCCTTTATTGAAACAAATTCCTACAATCTAGCTCCCTTGATTCCCTCTAAAGATAATTATGCAAAAAAAAAAAGAGAAGATTATATATATACAATTTATTCAGGAATAAAATGCCCTGCCGTTTGATTTTTTTTTTTCCTTTCAATGAAGAAATAAAACACCATTTAAGATATTTGTAGTAATCCATATATAAATTTTTGTAGTAATTCATATAAGAAAATAACATCGAGAATAATACAAACGTACCAATAAAAAATATATGTATGAAAACAAACCTACTAAAACCGGAAATAAACGTACTAGTAAACAACGTTGAAGAACAAAAGTAAATGTACCAATCAACGATATGTATAATATTAATCGTACCCATATGATACTAAATGGTACAATCCACAATGTATACAAAAACAATCGTAATAAAATCGTAAAAAAAACCTACCGATCAACGAGAACAAAACTAAACGTACCGGAAGCTAAATCTAAACATATCAAAAGCTAAAACAAAACATACCAAAAGTTAAAACTAAGCGTACCAATCAACGATATGTACACCCATAAATTAAAAATAAACGTATCAATCAATACAAAACGAATATATGATAATCAACAATAAACGTACCATTATCACTAATCAATGATATGTACAAATTCAAATGTATACAAAATAATTATCTAACAAAAAAGTATACTAAATAATAAAAAACAAACAAAAAAAATCTAAGTGTCCATCATTTCAATTATTTTTTCAATTTTAGGATAAAAAAAATGTTTTGAACGAAAACAAAAACTAAAAGAGATAATTGGAAAAATACGTTGAGCGAAAAAACCAAAATTATCTCCTAATTAAAAAAGAGTCCACAACTCCTAAAATACATGAATAAAAAAATAGCCGGATAAAAAAAAAATCTCTCAACTAATTAAAAGGACAAATTTAGAAATCAATATGTAAAATTTTAATTTAAAAAAATACAATTATTTTTTTTTAATTTAAAAAATAAGAAATACTGATGTAGCCTAATGTATCAAAGCGTCTTGATCAAAATTCTAAAAAGCATGAATGTTTAATAAAAGAAATTCAAATTTTGAGGGTTTAAATCTAATTATAACAAGTGATTCTAATGGGTAAATTAAACCAAAGTAGTGATACTACTTATCTTCACTAGAGATCAAGGATAAGACCAAGACTCTGTCAAAAAATTAGAGATAAACACGTAAAGACTTTAAAGCATGGGAACAGCACGTATGTATATATAAATTCGCTCATTTCCAACCAGGGGTGCACACGCAAGTCAAGATCCTTATTAATTAGGTCGGTTAGGGTTTCTTCAAAACTTTCAGAGTCTTACTCGAGTTAGGGTTTCTTCAAAACTTTCACGATGAGGCGCCTACTGATGGTCTACCTTGACGAAAAAATGAGGTAATCACATGCACACTCGGTTACTGCCCTTGTGATTGATAATCACGTATTAATGTATGTCTCATATGTTACTTTGTAGATAATTGATTTGGAAACTACAAATATTTCATTCGTGATGGTAATAAGCTTCAAAGTCTGCAATTTTAATAACAAACTAAAGATATTTCGTCAATTGGAGGTTTTATGTGCAATATATGTATATGCAAATGTGCTCTAAATCACTATATTATTCTTTGTTCTTAATTGTTGCTTTGTAGGAGAATTATTTTTTGTTCCTGCATTTAATCTGGCTAGCCTTACACATTCCGTTCCTAACAATCCATTTTCTGTTTTTCTATGTGCCGCAGAGAAAGGCGTGACAAGATTATAACTGTGAATTTCGTGGAAGGCATAATCATTTACGCTGTGTTTTTTGGATCGTTGGCACTTATTCGTGCATATCCTGAAAGAATTCTTCCACCTATGTTAACATACTACCGCCTATCAAGAATGTTTGTGTTGGTCATTCTCGATTTCATTGGCCGGAAGTTCAGAATGATCATCTCGAAAGTAGAGGACAGCAGCCCCTGGTCCAATAAACTCACGGGAGATGTTATGCAACTGATTCTACGACGACTGGGCCTATTCTTAATAACAATGAAGAATTCTATAGAAATCAACAAATGTACAGATGAAGGGAGATTGAAAAGGAAACTGAAGAATGTATCAATGTATTTCTTTTACTGTTTCTGTATATAACCATCATAACCCGACTACAAAAGGAAAGAAAGTATTTATACCATAGTTCCATTTGTGTTTTTTGATATAATTATGGTGGTGATTTTTTTATATATTTAACCTATATCGATGAATGATCGCCACCATAATTATATAAAAAATAAAAAATGAAACTATGGTACGAAGGTAATTTATAGGGATGTGATGGCTGCAACAGCTGGAATTAGTAAAATAGACGGGATTGTAAAGAAGCATTGATGGACATGAAATCATATTGTTGCTGTGGTGAATTTGATTTCTGGTTCACCCACCGGTTCAGCAACAACTCCCGCTTCTTGACCGCCATTGCCGAGCGCTTGTTGACGAAACCCACAACCGCCACGCCCTTGTTGACCACGGCGACGATCGTGGCCCGCTTGTTGACCCCGCTGACCATTCCACTCCCCATCCTCCGATGGTCCTAGTTAGATAATAAAAACAGGCGTACAAGACAAAATGTAAGGAAATAGCCACGTAAATGGAAGGGATAATGAGTCTACAGAGCTAAAAGAGAGAGAGGGAAAAGGGAGAGAGAGTGAGTGAGTGAGTGGAGGATTGTAGCTATATATATAGGTACCGTTTGGTACGTGGGACGGGACGAAATGCAGTGGGACAAGGCGTTTCGTCCTACGTTTGGTGCGCGGAACGTGGGACGGGACGAAATGCAGTGGGACGAGGCGTTTCGTCCTACGTTTGGTGCGCGGAAAACAGTGGAACGCGCTATTCCACGGGACGAAATTTGGTTGAATTTTTGTTCCACCTTAACCCCCTGGAACGACTTGTTCCACATCCGTGCAACACAAAATTTTGAAATTTTAAGACAAAAATGCCCTTCATCTTTTTCAATATTTACACCAACCAAATCACAAAACAAACCCTAAAATTCTATCATCTTTTTTCCATCTTCTCTGCCGCTACCTCGTTTCTCACAGGTCTCTCCAACCTTTGTCCTCATCCTCTCCCATAGCCTTTCTTTTCTCTGCATCCAATTCCAATCTCTTTTTTTTTTTTTCACAATATTTTCTGACTCAATTGAAACCATGAGGTAGACTATGTGTTCAAGGTGGTACTGATAGGTGACTCTGCTGTGGGCAAGTTTCATATTCTGGCCAGATATTATTGAAACGAGTTTAGCTTAGACTCCATGGCCACCATCGGTGTCAAGTTTCAGACTTGGACCCTCCTCATCGAGCACAAGAACGGTCTCTCTCTCTCTCTTTCTTCAGCTGTAGCATACAACCCTTTTCTTTCAATCTGCTACTTGGGTTCTTTGGATTGATAGATTGCAGCGATTCCATTAAACTTTATGCTTTTTTACTTTTTCCTGTTTTAGTGAAAGTTCTGAGTTGCTTTCTTGGTGAGATGTATGTATAGTTTGCATTACATCCTTTGAAGTTTTTTTTTTTTTTTCCTTCTTTCTGGTTTGATTTCTTCAACTAAATTTTTAATGATGGTAACTAAATTACTTCTCTGTATGCTGCATGATAATCACAGTGAGGAAAATTTGTACAAAAAGTTTGGGTAAGATTAGTAGTTTTCTATTTATCTGAGAGTTATAGATCCATGTTTTTGAACCTGATAGTGTACTTAATATGTTGTGATAATGATTTGGATATCCACTCGAATGATTAGAAATGTTAAATACCGAGAATTAAATTAGTTATCGGTTTGCATACATTTGATGGCTTTGCATATTGTGCAATATACATGTATCTTACAATATACATTTGACGGCTTTGCATAGTCAGCTCCAAGGCGATCAGTGCAAGGCCGTACTGCAGTTTCTCGTTCAAGCCAAGATTGTCAAGAAGGATTAGATCAAGATTCATGGGTTCTGAGGACATGGAGTCGTAGTTGAGTTTGTTACCGTTGTATTAAGTTTGCTACTACCTCCCAGAACCTCTTGGCTTGTTTGGATGTTCTGGGGTTGTAATAACAGAATTGTCTATATAATGTGGAATTTTAATGGACTTCTGATGCATGATGCTGGTCTTTGTTAATTTGCTTCCATTTTTGTTGGTTGATGAGGATTTCAAGTCAATTTTATGGGATTTCATTTTCTTTGTTTAAATTCTGAATGTTTAAACCCTAAAACATTTAAGCATATATGTAATATGTGTTCAAATATGAACAACTTCAAAAAATTAAATAATAATAATAATAATAAAATAAAATAAAACTGTCTCATTCTGTTCCACACATAAACATTTTACCAAACAATAAACGAAACAGGAGTAAGTTGGTCATTTAATCGTTTGGTTCCATGCTGTCATACACTTACCAAACGTAGTACGGAACAACCGTTCCGTTCCGTCCTGCGCATATCAAATATAACATAGAACATTCGTTCCGTTCCGTCCTGTCCCGTCTCGTCTGCATACCAAACGGTACCATAGGGCCTTGATTTACGTGACGGCTAGCGGGAATAGCGAACTAAAAATTCCTTCGGACAAATAAAAAAAAAATAGAAAAAAAACAAAAATAAAACATGTGGCCACCGTGACCGCAACGGTATACTGGTGCAAAACTTCCTCAACCTAAAACTTAATACCACAACCCACTCTCCCTCGTAGTCCATTTATATCCAAAATACATTAAATACCCTTGCATTCCTTTTGCAATCAATTTTATACATTGTATGGATAATATTACTGTTTTTGTCCATGTAGTCATGCAAATATGTATACAAGCTAGATTTTTAAACTCGGTCACGTATATGCATTTTATGCCAAATGCCACTGTTTTTCTCCTTCTCTATTTTTTTTTTTCGTTCTGATGTACAAAACTAATTGCATTCACAATAGCATTAGGGGTATATGAGAAAACGCATGGATATTTATGATCACCCATGCCACACCTCCTTATAGAGTTTGACGCCATGGGCTTTGTCCCATGCGTCTTGTTTAATCAATTCCTACTTTAGGCTTGTAGTTTGGATCCCTTTTAATTAAATAAATCTCGATGCATATTTTAATTAAATCATGTTCAATAGATTCAAAAAAATTAATTTCAACAAGGGCTTGTTTGAGAATTGGATCACACAACATGCATATGAAAAAATAATATACAATTAATGTATGAGAGATTCCAAACTTAATATCACTTAGACTTTTTTTATAAAACACATCCAGCAATAGGTGATTAAGTTAGGACAATATTAGCGATGGACATACATGGGTTTGAAAAGTTTATCAATTTGCATACGTATCACACAAGTTCTTAAGACTTGTACGTATCTAAAAATCTTCACAATCGGAGTGTATCCTCTTATATTTATATCTCTAATCATGTAATGAATACAGGTAATGTAGTTATATATGACGGGATACAAGAATCTACAATTTGGGGTGGGGTGGTTAATGATAAAGACATAGGGATGTCATCCTACTATATATATATATGTTGTCTAAGAATTGTGATCAAGTTGGGGTGAAAAAAAGTAGCCATTGATTCCTGAGTTTACATTATTAGGGAATACTAAAATTTGATCAACTAGTAGTACCTGACACTCTATCATTTGGCTGGCATAAATATTCATGCTTGCATATCTTCTCATGTATGTAAGGATCTTTATATTGCTTAACTTCCTATATACATACACACGTACATATATATATATATATATATATATATATATATATATTGTAATCGTATTGAAGCTTCAAGTCTTTGTGTAGCCAAAACTTGGGGCAGTGCAGCCCTATCCGAAACACAAGAGGTTTTACCATCATTTTCCGACTATGAAAAGGTATTGTATCCCATATTTGAAATGTTGTGATTGCTTCTGTTGATCCTAGACTTTATAATTTTATTTTAAGATTTATGTATAACATTTGCTAGTGTGACAAGAGATTTAAAGTTGGTGAAAAAAAAAAAGAGCAGAGCACAAAAATAACGAATGATGGATTAATGGTATGCAGACTCTTTCAGGATCCTTTCTGATATGTCGACGACAGTGGTCAGGAAGGGGAGCAATTGCTGAACCGGTGAGTCAACTGGAAATCAAATTCACCACAGCGATGGTTTGCTTCATTATCTTTCAATGCGTATTAATTGTGCTGTTTATTTTAATTATTTCAGCTATCGCAGCCATAACATCCTACATATATTACCTTCGTATCATAAGTCTATTTGTGATTTTTGATTTAATTATAATGAGGATCATCCATCGATATAGGGCAAAAATCACTCCTAAGGTAGTCGAGTTCTTAGAAATTGAATACTTCAGATAAGTAATAAAGGTATTTATATGGGCTTTAGAACTTTACTTACAGAATATCATTAACCCGAATGCATAATTTGCCTCGTCACCCTACTGAACTATTCGTATTACCTGATTTCCTTTGTCCTATTTCTGAGACATAATACAGTTCTAACTTTTCTGGACTTTGCACTAGGAATAAATGTCATTATTTTAGTACATGTTATAAAATTGATTGATAGTGGCAAAAAACTTAAAAGGTTACGAATATGAATTATTTGGTCAATCAATTACAACTTGCATCTTTGTTCTTTTGTTTAAAAGTCATTAGGAAACTGTGTAGACTTAATTTTCACCTAATTCCAAGTACGTTCGGCGAATCGCCTAGTAGGGATGAAGACAAATATGAGTAAAAAAGAAAAAACAGTCCGCAGATCATCAATCCAATCTATCACAATTTACTAATGACTTTTAAACAAAAGAACAGAGATACAAGTTGTAATTGATAGACCAAATAATCCATATTCGTAACCTTTAAGTTTTTTGCCACTATGAATCAATTTTCTAAAAATGTACTAAAATAACGACATTTATTTCTAATGCAAATTCCAGAACAATTAGAACTTTAGTGTGTCTCAGAAACAGAACAAAGGAAATCAGGTAATACGAATAGTTCAGTAGGGTGAAGAGGCAAATTATGCATTCGAGGTCAATGATATTTTGTAAGTAGAGTCCTAAAGCCCATAAAAATACCTCTATTACTTCTCTTGAAGTATTTGATTCCTAAGAACTCAACTACCTTCGGATGATTTTTGCCCTATATCGATGGATGATCCCCACTATAACTAAATCCAAAATCACAAATGGAATCATGATACAAAGGTGATATATGTAGGATGTTATGGTTGTGATAGCTGGTATAATTAAAATAAACAGCACAATTAATACGCATTGAAAGATATGGAAGCAAACCATTGCTGTGGTGAATCTAATTTCCAGTTAACTCACTGGTTCAGCAATTGCTCCCCTTACTGACCACTATCGTCGACATATCAGAAAGGATCCTGAAAGAGTCCGCATACCATTAATCCTTCATTCGTTATTTTTGTGCTCTGCCTTTTTTTTTTTTCACCTACTTTAAGTCTCTTATCACACTAGCAAATCTTATAGATAAATCTTAAAACAAAATTACATATTATAAAGTCTAGGATCAACATAAGCAATTACAACATTTCAAATATGGGATACAATACCTTTTCATAGTCGGAAAATGATGCTAAAGCCTCTTGTGTTTCGGAAGGAAGTATGATCAAATAACTAACATATTTTGAAGACCTTATGTGTTCCCAACAATAAAAAAATTGAGCCCAGATATAAGAGCTTTGATTTACCTTTGCAACTCGGTTATAGGTGGTCTAGGGATAGACCTTGTTTATTTTGTCTTAATTAAAAGAAATTTCCATTGAACATGTAATTAGTCAACACTACGCTACTCATCGATATGCTGATATACTGAGTGGGGTGTAAGCTCTAGGCACAAGAAAGAGGATGGACGGATATGAAATGGTTTTCATTTGCAAACCATTACTTTCTTTGTTGACAATGTCACACCATAAAAATACCTTCCAATAAATTATAATACATATTCCCAATGTATCTGCTATACTGTTGAGGTCGTTACTCCGGATGGGTGTGAAACGAGTTGGTTAAACTCTAGGCTAGAAGTAGGCTAGGCTCTTGACAAACGAGAATTAACTTTTCATTTTTAATTATGCTTTGACCCCCAAAAAAGGGAAGATAACAAGTAAATTAACATTTTCAATGTGTCATAGTTTCGATGTTCAACCTAGACACTTTAATGAGCAATACTGGTTATATTATCAGCTTGAAAACTATATGAAAAATATGATCAAGTAATTGATATATTGAATACCAATTTATGTTCCAAAAATTAAAAAGATTGAGCCCAGATGTATGAGTTTTGATTGTGGGTGGTCTAGGGATAGACCTTGTTTCATTGATCTTAATTAAAAGAAATTTTCATGGAACATGTAATTTGTTATTAGTACACACTACTCACTAGTTCTCAATATGCTGATATACCGAGGTGGATGTAAGCACTGGTTACAAGAAAGAAGATGAACGGAAGTGAGATGGCATTCATCTGCAAACCATTATTATTACTTTTTTTGTTGATTGAGTCTGATTTTTTTCCTAGAAAGCAATTGAGCAAGTGAATTTTAAAAAATACCATGGAGTTAGGTATGTTACCAGAGAGTAAGAGATAACAAAAAGTTGAATTGAATGTGCATATCTATTGGGGGTTTATATACTATGCAACTTTTATGTGCCATAGAAAATGAAGGGCTTATTTCTAGGTTGGTGACAACTGACAAGGTCGAGCTCTTTCTTTTCTCTTTCCAACACGAAACGCATTGTTGTGAATAAAGCAGTAGAAAAAAAAAACAACAAAATAATACGTATTGAGAAGTCCTGGTTGGAAGATCAGTATTGTGATTTTGATGCATGCACGTACTACATTGTTATGCCCTACCAACTTTTAATGAGGATCATTACACCCTATTACTCTCATCCACCAACCTTACCCCTTATGCTCTAATTTCAAAACTTACATAGTTTTTTGTGTTTAACTACGATATCCTCACCACTCATGCCAAATTATGCGATCACCCAACACATTTTAATGGATATTCATAGATCATTACAAGGTTAATTTGGAAAGTTAGAGTCAAGTAACTTGAGAAATGAAAACCCTAAAACCTCTCGTTTCTAACACTG